CAATGGCTTCCCATGGACACCATATTGATTTAATAAAGGCAAATAGGCTGTTTATTTTGTATTTATTTTTTGCACTTGATTGGGTATTCTTTGCAAAGAGAATTGTTACTACATTTACTAAGTTAAGGGGAACTTCTATTGCAAATGGAAAATTTGCTTGCAAAGTGAACGGCTTGTTTACCTTTAGTAAACCAACCCCTATAAGTGGGCTTTTAAACCAACATGAGTTGATTTATTAAAGGCAAATATGTTGCTTAGTGAATGCAGTTAAAATTCACTTTGCAAAGAATACCCAATCAAGTGCAAGGAAAAACAAAATGCTTGCACAAAGCTAAAGTCAGAGCTTTAGCAGAGCTTCACCCCAGTGACTAAGCTAAAGGAAATTCCATTGTAAAGTGAAACTTCCCTTGCACAGTGAGCAGCCTATTTGCCTTTAGTAAATCAACCCCATAATATGCAGGCATGGTTCACTTCAGGAAATCTGCCCTGAAAATGTAATGCAGCCATCCTAGGAGTACATGCATATAGACAGGATGTGGCGGAAAAGAGGCTGCAGGATATCAGCAACATTAATATGCAACAATGGATAAAAAAGTGAAAACAATATTTTACTCACACAAAACATAAGAATTTGTTTTTAAAAAGTGCTTTATCTAACTAAATGTCATTCAGTTAAGGTTTATATCTACCTTAAAACCTATTTTAAAATGCTTATATTCATGTAGGAAGAACCACTAAGTGACTAATGTAACAGCAAAGCTTTCATATATGCATTACATATAGTTATTCTATGTCCCTTTAAAAGTTATACCAATACATCTGTAGTGTACCAGCATCCAAAACATATTCTTAGAGGGAACTGGAGCACCTGGAGACAACCCAAGTTAACACAGGGAGAATATACAAACAGAATATGCAAACAGACAGTGCCTTTGGCATCTCCCCAGTGCTGTAAGGGATTAGTGTTAAATGGAAATTAGAATCGTCTAAAAAAAAGTCCAAAACATTTTGGCTAAAGATAAAATTTAAATTAGTGTTTTTGCTTCTCAGTATCAGTTCTCAATGCTTCTCAAAGGGATTGAGAGGGTTTTTGACCACACAGAGTGGATAAATTGGCAGCTGCCATGCCAGGAATCTATTTTGCATTATTAGATCTGATAGAGATTCACATCAGGTTGGATAGTGGTGTTTTCCAGCATTATTAATTATGTTACTTTTCTACAGTAGTTACTAAACATGTCTATATCATACAGGAGCTTTTAGTTAATGTTTTACATATATACTTGCTTTAGAAGCTTGAAACATAGACTTTAAAATGCAGAACAAGGGAATCCAGCTACACTTTCCCAGCCTAACTCACTGACCAGTGCGGGACTTGCCCAGCAGGGTGCCCCTGCACAGAAATTATATGTGAGCCCCTTCACCCCAAGATTAACTTTGACATTGGCTAAATATAGCTGTCATAATGGCAAATAGCACACAATACATAAGGATGTGCACTACAGCATTTTGAATTATAATTTAAAGTAATGTTCTTTCAGAAAATGCTAATTTCAAATAAAAAAAAATACCACCCAAAATTATAATTATGTTTATGAAATTACATTTTTAGAAAAAAAACTATGATGGGATAAAATACAGGTTTAAAAAATGATCTTCGTGATTGGACGGCGGCGGACCGCAGTGTGCGGCCGCCGGCCGGCGGACACCTTACACTGGCACCCGCAACTTCCCCACAAGGTCAGCGCTGCCGCCCCTCTGCGCTCTGCCGCCCTGAGGCCAGGCCTCAGTGGCCTTGTGGGAAATCCGGGCCTGCCTACATTAGCGCTTGGCATAAATGCCTTTCTTACATTGGTGTTCAGTGACAGAAGGGCTCTGTTACACTGATGGTCATTGAAGTGCACTCCACTATTGATGTATAGTGGGGGCGAAGGCCCTATTACATTGGTGTCATGTGGTGAAGGGCCCCTATTTATTATTGTCAGAGGAAAAAAGGGGGGGGGGAGGGCAAAGCTGGCAGAGCCAGCTGTCAATCAGGCAGCTGGATGGATCCTGACAATATTGTCAAGATCCTTCCCTGCTGCAGTACGGTTGCTGCACTGTCAGCATATAGGTCCAATATGTCCTACTGTGACCCTAAAGAGAACTATGGCAAAAAAAGATTGGGCCATAGTTCTCTTTTAAATAAAACATAGCATGAAATCAAATTGCATCAAATTTTAGTGATCTTGCCCCATTACTCTCAACCTGCAATCCCCAAATAATGAAAACCTTGTGCAAGAATGCTTGCTTGTTACTATTTAGTGCAATTGCTTTAAATGTATGATTTACATTTAGATAGGAATATAATCATCCTTGCTAAAATTAAGATTTGTATTGTGCACTTGAAGAGCCGCCCTGGGAACTTGACTTAAGCAGCACAATCTGAGAAAATTTAGTTTTTTTTTTAAAGTGTCCCCTAGATAATTAATGATGCTGCTATTTTCTAAACCTTCTGTACTTTTCTGTTTGCCTGGGTAATCCTACCCCTGCCTTGTGCCATTCTGCTTTACCAGTTAATAATCCCACACTTCAGTGAAAAGAGGTATTTGTTCAATTACCCATATACCAGACTCCAAATCTGTTAGGAAGAATGGACTGCATTGATTAATTATTTCCGAGGGCATGGGGTCAAAGGCCTAGTAGTCAATGAGCCCCAACAAGTAAAAAAGCCATCACAGCTTTTCTGTGAGAAGGGAACATATTTAATTTATGAAACAAACTGTAGAGCAGGGCTGCGATCTAAGTATTTCCTCTTTTTTATTTTTTTGTGAATCTTTTTAACAACACTCCCCTGACCCTGCATGCCCTTCTATAGTCACTGAGTCTCAGCCTCCATTCTGAGCATCAGAGGTTTGTATAAATAACTCAAAATGCCAAGGAGAAAACTAACCAGGGGATTATTCTACGCAGAACAGAAATCTTTCAAAAGATGTCTTATTGTCTCGGATGCCATGGCAGCGGTGCTACATTCGGCCTGGGAAGGCTGAGCCAGAGCAGCCAGATCTCCATGGGGTGAAGCAAGCACAGACGCTCGGCATTACAGAAAACAGCATGATGTGAAGCAGACACAAAATGGTGAAGCACTTAGACACAGGGGCTTCTGAAAATGTTTGGATGTTACACCAGGTCAAACATGCAGGCAGGTAAATGTTAGTTTGCAGGGAATAATTTACAACTGATTTTGATTCATGGAAAGGAGATCCTATTAAGCCTGATATATCACATTTTCGTATGCCTTGGAGCAATCTTTTTTCACATGTTAGAAGTGTTGCGGAATTAAGGTTTCAGCATAAGAAACCTTGTACAATAAAAAGGAGGTGCTAAGTGAAAAAAACTTTGCTGAACATCACTTACATCAACACTACCTTACAGACTGAATTAGTAAGGTAGTACAAAACCCAATATCTATGTGTAATCTGTCTGACCCATACCAACCATCATCGTTTCAGGTTACTGCAGTCAGGTGACAACAAAGATTACATTTAATATGTTACAATGGATTGCTGCATTTACTCAATATACCTTGTAATACCTTTGTTTATAAACATGTTACTGGTTATGGGATCCTTCAGACTATAGATGGTCATATAATTGTGAAAGAATCCAAAACTTGTCACTGCTCTTCTACTTAATATTATAATTTACTTTCAATTAAATCACTATAGAAAAAAAACTCTGTTCCTAATAACTGATAGGAGCTTTAATTACCAGGTTTCATTTGTAAACCATCATTATGCAATTGGGGGGATTAGTATAGGCACAACATGCCTTCCAGTGAAAGAAAATAATTGTTGCATTGCACGTGCTCATATGGGTAACATGGGAATATGGTTAACTGCTTGTGTATCAGATGCTTACAATTGTCTGCAGATATCCTGCATTAACATTTCTTTCTAAGCCTGCTAAGAACTGCAGTGTGCATGACTAGCTGTCATTAGAAGGTTAACATGTTTCTATCAGCCATTTGTTTGGGGTGCATGAGGACTCCACTAGGCAAAATTGTAAATGGGTGGGACCATTAAAGGAGAACTATGGGTTTAAGGCTTTTCCCCATAGTTCTCCTTAGGGTAACGGGAGGACACAAACTAGCGTCCTCCCGTCACCCTAGGCTCAGTATACCGCAAGCTGTAGCTCGCGTTATACTGAGGCGCTGCAGTATACCGCGATCTGCTGCTCGCGGTATACTGAGGTGACAGGATCGAGAGGTGAGCGATCGCCGGTATGTGTTCGCTCACCTCCCGATCTACTGAGCCGACATGTGACAGTCTCATTGTCACAGGTCGGCTAGAAGTATGAGGTGAGTGAAAAGCACTCACCTCATAGTTCTCCTTTAAGACACAGTAAAGTGCCCAAAAAGCTAGATAACTAAATACAATAGAGAAATCTAAGAACACATTGCAGATAAAAAGTAAACATACTCTAATAAGCACTCAAAGCGGAGCTGAAAGCCAGGTTGTTCAACATACACATTTGTTATTTTTCTTAGGAACATGCCATATGTTGGAAAGATGTCCCTAGGTTTCAGACTGTTTGAGAATAATCCTTGGCACATTCTCAATACAGCTGCATGGTGGCATTGCTTTTCCGGTGTTGGACATAAATCTGTATAAGTGTACTAAATTTCAGTTAAATGCCACTCCCAGCAGTGAAAGGTTTAATATGCTTGCATCATTCTTATGAAATGTTTATGGCTGTCTGTAGGGGTTCCAATATGTTGTTTTGCTTATATATGTTCTAAAATCTAGTGATAAGACTCAAAGAGGCTTGCTGTGCATTCCTCCGGAGCCTTATCTATCTAGATTAACCCCTCCAGCTGCAGCAGAGCACGTAACATGAGAACTTTTCATTTAATTTAAGCATTTCACAAACATTTTAGGTTAGTGTCATATGCAACTTATAACAGCTATGGGCACAGAAAAAAATATTCCCTTTAAACACTTCATTAGCAATTCAATTACCTGTGTACTGATAGATCTTGTCCCATCTGTTGCCTCCACTGTCAAGTTGTAATTAGATTTCTGTTCTGCATCGAGAGGTCTAGCAACAATGATGGTTCCAGTGCCCTTGTCCACATCAAACCTGCTGTCGTAGTTTCCACCTGGTTAGAATGAGTGAGACATTTATAAATAAGCATTTCTGCAGAGAGCAGTGATGGTACAGAAGATCAGGAAAGGCCATGGCACTACAGGAATGGAAGAGAGCATGGAAAGAAAGAGTGAGACATCCCATTATGGTGATCAAAAGGATTGAAGACACAAACAAGTACAGCGATGTATACCATACAAATGCAGACATATACATAGAAAACACAAACTGCACAGTACATCAAAAGAAAGAAGAGAAACATATTCTATAATTGTGAATAACAAAATATAAACTATGTACTAGTGAAACAAGTAAATCAACATGGGAGTAAGCAATACATGGCTCTGAAGATGTTGGTAGTGCAACCATCTTGCATTTGACTGACAAGGATGTACCCATATCAAAAAACAAAGACACCAATGGCTATAAACATAGCACTGGGTTTTCTATACGTGTCAGGACTAGGACTTAAAGAGACACTATCTTTGGATACATGTATCCTAACAATATTATCAAATACAGACTTATTCAAAGATGCATATCACAACATAAGATAAAACCACTGGCATTTTGGGGGCATTGAGGTCCCCTTTTGTCAGCCCCACTTGCTGGCTACTTAATCAACAATGTATCTCTGCAACTCTGCACAGGAAGTAGTGGGCAGAGGAACAGCAGACAGCAGGAAGACACACCAGAAAGTAATGGATATTGAAAATTCTACTGACAATTCTAGCCCAGCAAAAAAAAGCAAATATTCCACTAAACTGAGGTGGTACATGTAAGTATTATACTTATGTATCCTAATAACAGTGTTTCTTTAAGTAAACCTGTCAAAAGGGATACATTGTGTTTGCTATTGTTGATCACCATCTCCAGATTCTAGCTGACTGGTTGTCATTGCTCTTTTCTATTGTTTCTTTTGTTTGCTTAGTTTCCATGTAACCGACCTGGAAAATCAATTCAGAAAACTCAAAAGTAATGAAGCCAGGGGATTAGCATGAGTTCAAGACAACTAGCATTTTTAGAAGGAGTGGACAGCATGTTTTTCTCATGATAAGTTTACTTTAAACAACATCTGACCTGGCAGTGACTTAGTGTCTTCATCTGCTATAATCGCTGCCAGCACACAAAAATTGCAATTGTCGGGCACAATTACAAAAGTTCTCAGTGTTTGACGAGAACATAACCAACTGGCCATACATGAGAGAACTTATTGATTAAAACAAGCAGTTTTAATATAATTCTGACTCTGGCATGATAGACAAATTGCAGCTGATATGCCAATGTTCTGTGAGGAATAAAAGCTGCTGCTAACTAACCTCATACTTTCTTGACTGACAACTACATTCCCTCATCTATGGCCAGATTTGCTTCAGCATCAAGAGAGCCAGAAATTGCATACCCAATCTAAAACATCAAACAAAATACATTAAAATGGATTGATAAGGGAGTAGTCTTAGGGTCATCCTATGACCTTTATCTAGTCATATATAGACAGGCTTCATATGCCAACTGGTTCTTATTAGCAGGCAGTTTTAACATGTCTGCATTAGCATCATGATCACAGTCATGAAATGACATTAAGCATATAAAATTTAAAAAGCAATATATCATTTGCAGACAACCGATCATGACTTTTAGATTGAAGAGTTTGACAATGTCATAATTAGCTGCCATAAAATGATAACCATAATACGAATACATATGCCCTAATTACTCCAATATCAATCTGTTGGAAAGCCAGTGGAAATATTTGTCCTTGACAAAAAAGAAAATCACGGAGCTCCTAAGCTAAGCTTGGGGCCCTGGTAATGAGTGAAAAATAGAAGCACGGAATCCCAAACAAATGTTTGCTGCAGTGATGGTTCTACAATGAGCTTCTGAATAAAATATCCATTTGTAGCAGATACCTTCTGCTACACAGTCGTGGTCACAAGCCATCTGAATGATGTAAAATACTTCACTAGATAGGTCATCTCCTGGCAGCACTCATAGTAAAGACAGAACAGACAGATAAAAAACATGGACAAGTCAAAAATCTCTAGCTATTAAAATCTATTGCATTAACTTTTTTTTTTTTTTTAAGCATGTTAATTTTTATTGAAAGAACATAAAGAAACAATACAGATATAATCCATAGTGACATTAAACATGGATCAAGTTCCAGTGCGCAGACTGCGATCCAGATATGTAGCACGATTGTATGCAAACAATACTAAAGATTACCCAATTCAACTTTTGATGGAACATTTCAGAGTGTCTCTGTATTGCAGGCAGCAACGCAGAAATAGCTTCAACCAGTGAACCCTAATGCCGTGAGGGTCGGGACTCTGGGTAGGGGACCATATCTCCATAACGTGGGAACTCGTGGGCATATAAGGTGGGCCTAGCCTCCATATGTACAGTATGCGAAAGCTGTAACAAATGAATTTGGGAATGTAAGGGGTTAAGGACATCCAGTGAACCCAGGGAGCCAGTCAGTTGGGCCTCTAGATACCAGTTAGAAAATCGAAAAATGGACATCAAATCTTGTAGCTGTTGCATTGAATATTCCGCTGTAACATATGATGTCCAAGTGTCGAAGAAGTTTTTAGTGCGCGCTTGGTTGAATTTTGTATCTAGTTTGTCTAGCAGTAGCAGGCGATTGAGCAGGGGGCGGAAGGTGTCCAAAGAAGGGGGTTCAGGTATGATCTGCATTAACTTTTTTTGATGGGAATTCAATATTAGCTGTCAGATTTTATAACCAATATGTAAAGCTTTAGCTCACAACACAACCCTGCCTACCATTATAAGGAAAAAAAGAAAAGCTAATTCCATCATCAAAAGTATGTAAAGGGAACCCAACCAATGGACATTTATTATATTACTGGTTCATCGCCAATACTGAACAACACCAGGGCTTTATTTGGTCTTTGTATACACTTGCACCTGTGGTTAGCATTTCCCTTCCTTCTCTTGACTATAATGCTGCTTTTTTAGCCATGTATAATGATACTGGCATTCTACAGGCTGCAGTATTACAAGTATAAAAGCCCATTTTGGTAATTGGTAACCAAAAACAAATAGAGATGGTCAATTTCCACACGAACAGGCCTGCGCGTACAGCTCTATGCTGCGTGCGGGGCTGTGCCAAGCAGCTGCCGGGAAGGACAGGTGCTGCGTGTGATTAGTACGCAGCCCCCGTCCTTCTCTATGGGACTACACGGCCGTACGCCCCCCCTACGCTCACCTCAATTGCAAGTCCGCAAGGGTGCGGGGGAGCGTATTCATACGCCGCCGTAATGGATCCTGTATCCGTCCCGGCCAGAAAACTCACACCCCTACTGACCTGCAATTGAGGTGAGCGTAGGGGGGCGTACGGGCGCATAGCCCCATAGAGAAGGACAGGGGCTGCGTACTAATCACACGCAGCACCTGTCCTTCCCGGCAGCTGCTTGGTACGGCCCCGCACGCAGCATGGAGCTATACGTGCAGGCCGATTCGTGTGTGAATGGGGCCTAAAGGTTTATGCATATACAGTACAAGGTATAATAATATATTTCTATAGCACCACAGCAGTTCAGGTACAAAATAAAAATGTTTAATCTTTAAAATCTCAGACATATAACTAAACATTTCAAAAAGGAGTGAAGATCAAACAAACATGTTTTGAAGAAGATACAGAGGAACAAAATATTTTAGTAATCCATAAACTTCCATTGAATGCATTTGTGATTCTGTTGAACTTTACATGCATCTTCATAAACTGAATCATTCAAGCAGCTATTATTGAAGCTCTGTTCTTCTGCAGTACAGTAACAGGGTTATTCACAAAAGGGTGAAGGGTTTGGAGAAGGCAGGATAAATGAACAATCTAGGGCAACATAGTTGAACTGGAAAGTGAGCTGAATTGGAGAATTTTTCAAAATCAGCTATGTTGTCCTAGATTGTTCACTTCTCCTGCCTTCTCCAAACTCTTCACCCTTTTGTGAATCGACCAGTAAATATCATGGAATGTATAGGGAGGACACTTGTGATATAACTCTTATTCAGAGTTGGCTGGGGACCAAGGTGTCCAGTTTAAGGGATGACGAGTGATGTGACAAGCGGAGCAAAATCTGCCCAAGCTGAACCAGGAAGAGGCAGCCAGAGCAAGTTGTGAATTCAACAGCCCCAGCTGGAAGAAGATAAGCTGTGTAGCTTATTCAGTGCTTCCACTCTTCCCAAAAACCAAGCTATTACCATCACAATCCATGTATAATACATTAAATATATCAACAAGCATTAACCAGAGCATTGCAGTTACAGTGAACAAACATATATTTGCAATTTATAATCAGCAGTTAACAGATAAATCTTTGAGAAACAGTGCTTAATTGCACAACATCTGGTGGGATTAAAACAAAGTTGAGGATCAGCAGATGGATGAGCAAACCTTTCCTGAACATGTAAATGTGGATAAAAACAAAGAATTAAAGCCAAATCATTATGGCTGTTAAAACTGCAATTGTTTAGTAAGGTAATCATTGCTAAAAAAAAACAGGCTTCAAAGTTCCCACTTTTTTTGCATCTTTAGCTGAAGTTGGTATGTTTCTCCCATAGTTAGATATTTACCGAGCAGTTCAGATTGTGTGCAATCTGTTATTGTCAAGATTTGTTTTTAGTTCAATCTGAATTTATTAAAGATTTGCAAATGTGGTACAAAAAGGCAGACAGACAATTCCACCTTGACAAAAACAAAACAAAACAAAAACACAATACAAATAATAACAGGAGCAAGATATGGGCCTACAGGCCCGCGGGCCCAGGGGCATCGTCAGCAAGACAGGTATCAGACTATAATCAAAGTCATAACATCTAAATCAGCGGTGGCCCCCTTAGCACAGCGCATAGTGAAAATCATGTATGGCGGTATACACTGTGGCAGTGTAAGCCAATGCTTACATTGCCACAACACCTAGGAATGTTTGTAGCGTCTCCACCCATCACAGCTAAACATGAGGCCAGGTTAGGATGCAGACCGCATAAGTGAAC